CCCAACCCCCCGCAAAACTGCTGAGCCAAGCGCCGATTCCCTGCCCCTCCCTCCCCTTGAGTCTAGCCCCGGTTCCCAGCACCTTCCTCCTCCTGCAGCCACTCTGAGCTCCCCACACACACACTCCCACCCGAGCCCAGCCCAGCCCAGCCCCCCCCGACCTCCCCACTCTGCAACCCAGCTGAGCTCAATTTCCCTGCACCTTCCCCCAAACCATGCAGACATGCTGAGCCAGCGCTGATTCCCTGCCCCTGCCTTCCTCCCTCCCCTTGGCTGTGTCTACACTGGCGCGATCTTGTGCCAAAGCAGTTGCTCTGGTGCAAAAACTTGTTTCCTGTCTTCACTGGCCGTGTGTTCTTGCGCTAGTACACTGATGTTCTCATGTATGAAATCAGGGCTTCTTGCACAATAACTATGATGCTCCTGCTCAGCAAGAAGCTCTTTTGCGCAACTGGTGCAAGAGGCCAGTGTTGACAGGCAACATGAATTTCTTGCACAAGAAAGCCATATGGCTAAAATGGTCATCAGCACTCTCCTGCCCTGCCTCTCTCCTCTGGTGCTGGTCCCTCCCCTGCAGGTATCTACCCTTCTGCTTCACCCCCAGAATCTCCTGGCACTTGCACCTTCTCTTACTCCTGCACCCTCCTGTTGCCTCCCCCTTCCCTCACTGCCCCTACCTCATTTGCCCTCTTTTTCCCTGATGCCCCCCCCACCCTCTGCCCCCGTTTCCCTCATGCCCCTGTCCCCTCAGACATGACTTGCTCCATCCCGGCCTTCCTCATGCCCACCCCTTCTTTCAAGCCTTCTCCCAGCACCTCCTCCTCCCCCCTTTAGCCCTCAATACCCTTACCTTCTCCCCTCCCAGCATCACCCTGTCCCCCTCCCACTGACACCTCCCCTCCTGCCTTTTTCCTCATTGTCTGCACTTGGCCCCCTGGCATTTGTCTCTCCTCTGCCCTGTCCGTTTGGTGCCTTCCCCTCTCTTCCCCCTCTCCCCTCTCCCTCCGCACAAGTCCCTTCCTCTCACAGCCCTTCCCCTTCCCCTACCTTCTGCCTTCCACTTTGCAGGGCTGGAGTCTGTGCTTTGTCCCCAGACTCGGAACGTGCAACTCAGCCTTGTGGTGCAACGCAGTGTCCAGCAGTTTTAAAATCCCAGGCCGTGACGTTACGCCACGCCCGGGCGTCTCCCTGCCCACCAGTTTGAGCACACTGTGCAGGGCAGCAGCAGCCGGCAAGGGGAAGCTCAGTGAAGGTTGCACATGGCAGGGACGGGACGGGGTCAGGGATGGGTGTGAGATGCTCTGGGGCCTGGGTGGGAGGACACTCAGGGGCGCCGGGGCCCACTCCAACTCCAAATATTGGTGGAGCATGGGCACCACGAGCCCATACAACTCGCTGCCCGTGCCTCTGCTGGCAAGGTGGCTCTCTCTCTTTCAGAGAGGGTGGGGGAGTGCTGGCTCCTCGCGGAACCCCTGTTTTGCTTCGCGGAACCCCAGGGCTCCCCGGAGCACCAATTGGGAAACACTGGTCTATAAGGTGCCACAGGACTCCTTATAGCTTCTCTGGATCTGCTGGCAATGCTCCTCCTAATGCACCCTAATATGCCATTAGCCCTCTTGGCTACAAGGGCGCATTGTTGACACATATCCAGCTTCTCATCCACTGTTACCCCCAGGTCCTTTTCTGCAGAACTTCTACTTAGCCATTCGGTCCCCAGCCTCTAACAATGCTTGGGATTCTTCCATCCCAAGGGCAGGACTCTACACTTGTCCATGTTGAACCTCATCAGATTTCTTTTGGCCCAATCCTGCAATCTGTCTAGGTCACTCTGGACCCTATCTCTGCCCTCAAGCGTATCTACCTCTCCCCCAGCTTAGTGTCATCTGTGAACTTGCTGAGGGTGCAATAACCCCTGGTTATTAATACAAATGTTGAACAAAACTGGTCGTAGAACCGATCCTTGGGGCACCCCACTTGAAACCGACCACCAGCCAGATGTCGAGCCATTGATCACTACCCATTGGGCCCGACAATCTAGCCAGCTTTCTATCCACCTTACAGTGCATTTATCCAAACAACTCCCTTAACTTGCTGGCAAGAATATTGTGGGAGACCGTATCAAAAGCTTTGCTAAAGTCAAGGTATATCACATCCACTGACTTCTCCATGTCCACAGAGCCAGTTACCTCATCATAGCAGCTAATCAGTCTGGTCAGGCATGACTTGCCCATGGTGAGTATTCCTCAGAAGGAAACATCTTAAGAGGGGTAAAGCATTTACTTTATGAAGAGTAAAGCATTTACTCTTTATGACTCTGAAAAGGTGCATGAGAGTGTCAGAATACCTACCCCGGTTAAGGAAATGCTTAGTTACTGATAAAACTAGGCAAACTTTTTGAAAACTCTGTTGTCAATAGAAAGAAAACACATGAAGGCATCATAGGATTTTCATTAAACTTTTCGCTGGTGTCCTTCATCCATACCGCTCACATATTCCTTACGCTCATGCACAACAAATACTAAAACAAGAAGTACAAGTGCAGCGCCCCCTCTCCACCTGGTTACTTTCTTTAATGCCAGTCTGCTTACAGGTTTGGATGGACAGGTCTGGGCTCTTCTGGATCCCGCCACACACTCAACTTTATTTTTTCCGATGGATTTATTTGGCGGTGCCTCCACCCCCCTCACTCCTTCCTGGCAGGGTCACCAGGGCAGCTTGGGAGGAAAATTCTAACCACAGGGTAATCCCTATGTACTTGCCAGATAGTTGGAGACTCCCAGAAAATAACACAAACACATACACTATATTCAACACAATTATATTAAACAGGAGACAAATAGAACAGAACAGGGTAAAACACTATTTTTAGAGTCACCAGTGCCCAGCAACGGTAAGATCAGTGTCCCGTTGGTACGCGTACTTTGTTGGGGCCCTTGATGACTTATGACCACAAATTTCTTCTCTGCAGAGGTTTAGCAGTGAGGCTGACTGGGTCCAGTACAGCCCAAAGGATTCACAAGTGGTAAATCCTTCCATAGGTTTAATATGCAGCAGGTTATAAAATCATCAAACAAATTCCCTGACTTGCTAACTAAAAGACGGTGCACTCACACACTCCATGAATGAGGCTCAGGTTCAGCGATGACTCAGTCTCTTCTGGCAGGGATGCTCTTCAGGCAGGAATCAGGCTGCCTCGGTCCCAGGATTCCCCTCACCACAAAGGGGTGCGAGGTTCAAGGTGCAGGCCACACAACTGCACTAAAATTCAAACTCTAATCTCCTACCCCAGCATTCAGACCCACACACACACAGCAGGCAGCAGCCCCGAATGGGCAGACTCCATAAACTGGGAATCAACAGTGGAGAAATAAAACCCAGCTGAGGGGTCTTGCTTTCAGGTCCCTAGAGGCTAGTTCTCAGGGGGATCCCTGCATGCAGGCCTGGGGCTTACTAGCTCCCAAACAGCCAGTCCTCCCCTTGCCCTGGCTGGCTCCAGACTCCTCAGATAATGGCTTCTCTCCCCCCTCCTGAACTCTCTCTCACACCCTGTGGATTGCCGGGCAGACTCTGTCTCTGGTATGGAGGGGGAGCCAAGACAAACTCAGTTTGCCTCTCCCTGAGCTGCCAGCAGGCAGAGCCCCAGGAATCTAGGTAATCCCCTTGGGGGTTACATAAGCAAAAAAATTTTTTTAAAGCAAATCATTACATGTTTCCACTATATTCTATGATAATATCTGCTTTAAAACTAAAACCAAAATAATCCAAATCTCTTTCTACCCTACTTCTCAATCAAAGAATTCTAAATCAAGTCTATAACAGCAGCAACAATAAAAATCTAAAGGTATTTGTACTTCAGAGTAATTTAAACAAACATATTCAGACTCGGTACATTCAAACTTGAATGCTTAAAATATTACTACAAATAAGAAATAGGACGTTTGCTTCTAGACCTCTGCTCCCCCCACTTCCTGTCGGTAGCATGGCAGGGGCTGGGGGATGTGGGTTGGGAGAGTGTCTGGGTTTGTGCCCAGGGTATGGGGGTGCTGAAACTGTGGGGTCTGTGCAGGTGCCGGGCCGGATGGCCAGGGCCGGACTCCTGCTGCTGCCCCTTCTCCTCTGCTTCGGGCCAGAGACCGCCGGGAGCATCAACCCGGATGCACTTAGAGAGATCGTGGATCATGTGACTCGGTGAGTGACCAGTTTGGGGGGGAGGGTGTCTCTCTGCCTGGCCCTGGCCCTGGCCCTGTCACCCGGCTGCGAAGAGCAGCGGGGAATGGCCCTGGCTGTGTCCCTCCAGCTGGCAGGCTGTCCCAACGGGTCAGGGGTTTCAACGGTGCCTGGCTCTGCCCATCCCCTGCCTGAGAGCAGGGGGCTGCTATGGTGCCAGGCTCTAGAGACACTGAAATGAGGGCAGAGAGAGCACAGCCTTGCAGGGGTACCCTGGCCCTGCATTAGATCACGGCCCATCCCTTTTCTAAGGGTGATCCTGGTCGTTCTTAAGTTCTTTCTGGGGAATGAGGGAGGAGAAGGAGCCCAGAACCGGGATGTTTTCTTTAGGGGCTATTCCTCCTTCTCTCCCATTTGCTTGGCACCTGCTGGCTCACATGGTGACCTCTGGCCCCTCTGTGCCATGCTCTTTCAGGAATGGGGGAGTTAACAAGCAATACGCCTTCGCGGCCACACTGCCCCACGGCATCTGCAGAAACCCCCAGGATGTGTCCACCTTTCTGCCTCTGACCCAGCTGGCAGAAATGAGACGGAGCATTCGCCAGTTTGGAGACCTGTACAACCCGCCCCATGGGAACATCGTGGCCGCCCGGCCGAAGAACGTGGTCACCCCCCAGAGGAACTACACAGAGCACAGCGAGTGGCGCCTGCTCTCCGGCACAAGGAGTCTCGTGGCCCAGCTGAAAAACAGGACCTACGGCCAGAACAGCTGCCTCATCTTATTCAGCTTCAACTCGCCCTGCTCCACCAAGTGCCTGCGCCAGGCCGGGCGGGACAACATCGTGCAGATGACCAGCGACGCCTTCCACCCCCTCGACAACAACTACAAGGCCTTCGTCTTCCAGCAAATATTCGACTACGACCTGAAGCCGGAAGTGACCTGCCAGGGTCTGCTGGGTGCCTGGCACCGGCTGCGCGACGTCCCCTTGCTGCGCTGTGACAACAACGGCTGCAGGGACTGCGCGGCGGCGGCACCTCAGAACCACCCCTGCCTGGCGGGGAAGAGGTAAATGATGGAGCGGAACTGGGAACCTGTCACCTGCTAAGATACCATAAATTACTATATATAGCCTGCGAGTTAAACCCTTTTTTACAAACCCCGCCCTGCAGCGTATACATGTCCGCGTCTTATATAAATCGATTTTTACTCCAGGAGCATCAGTTCCCCTAAGTGGCTCTGCCCCCCATTAGAACTGATGAGCTTCCAGCGCGTCTGCGCTGCGCTTTGCATTCTCCCCACACAGAGGAGGGTGGGTGGCACCTGGTTGCGGCTGTGCAGGGCACAAGTGTGGCTCCCCTCCGGCAGGCCGGCCAGCTCGCCGACAGCAGGATGGCCGTGGCCTTGTGTCTGCTCTCTACGCACTGCTGCTCAAGTGCCTGGGGCTGCTGTAGAAGTCTCTGCGGGTTATACACGTCCGCGGGTAGTCTATAATTTTTTTTACACAGGATAGAAAAATCTCCGGTAATACAAGGGTGCGGGTTATATATGGATGCGGGTTGTATACGCTAATTTATGGTATATCTTTCCTTTACTCTCCTATCCTTTTCTTGATATATTTAATAGTATGCCAGTAGTGCAAGGCCAGCAGGACCTCATGTATCCTGTATGAATCAGGCTTAGCAAGAGCGGTGTGATAAATACAGGGCTAAGACTGATTTCTTTTATTTTTTGTGTTTTTCTTGACAGATGCATTGCGAAAGGGTTGTGAAAGGCCTTTGCAAGTAAACTTACAGTTGATTCATGACCATTACTCAATATTGCAGGAATAAACGTAAGTCAAATCTGCGAAGTGCAGCAAAACTTGAGAGAACAGCTTTCCTGGTACCTAACTGCAACATTTCCAGCCCTTTTCTTCGTTCTGGAAATCAGTCCAAGAATCATAGAATACTAGAACTGGAAGGAATCGCGACAGGTCATCGACTCCAGTCTCCTGTCCTCACAGCAAGATCAAGTACAGCAAGATCGATTAAGGGGTACTCGAGAGAAGTCAGGGGGGAGGGTAAGTCAACACAACTGAAATGTGGAGACAACTGAATTTTTGTTGTAAGTTTCACAGCGCTTTATTATTTTTGTACTTTTTACTCCCAAAAATTTCATCGCCCGCCTGGCTACAATTAAGTTGTTTAAACAAATGTGTTGCAACAGTAGAAAAAAAATGTGTGTGTGAAAACTATTGGTACTGGCGGTACTTACACATTTTTGTATAGGGATACTTTATAAAAAACGGTTGAGAAACACTGATCTAGACCATCCCTGACAGGTGTTTGTCTAACCTGCTCTTAAATATCTCCAGGGATGGTGATTCCACAACCTCCCTAGGCCACTTATTCCAGTGTTTAACCACCCTGACAAGTAGAAAGTTTTTCCTAATGCCCAACCTAAACCTCCCTTGCTGCACTTTAAGCCGATTGCTTCTTGCCCTGTCCTCGGAGGCTTTGGGCTTGTTCCATTCTGTGGGTGCCGCTTTTTGCCAAGTCTCTGCCTTGCGATTGCTGCCAATAAAGCTTGAGAGCATCCTGCAGCCGCATCTGTGTGTCCATGTCTCCCATCTCTGTCCATATGCTGGGGGGGGGGTCTCATCTCATCCCCTGGGGGTGCTGGATCTCCAAAGGCTGCTCCTCATCAGGGATGGTTCCCTGCTGGCAGCCTATGGCACAGTTTGGGTTTTACTTCATCCAGGGGTTCCTCTCCCCACCTCTAGAACTCCCATCCCCACTCCCTGGGTGGGGATCCCCTGAGCAGACAACCCAGATCCCCAGGGATGGGGCACAGAGCTCGCAATGGGGGACAGAGCCCCCAGCCCCACGCTCTGCTCCCCTAGCAGACAGGAGCTGCGCCTGGGAACCAACCCCCCGTTTTAGAGCCCCCAGAAGGCAGCTCCCCCTGCAAACTCCTTGGCTCCCAGAAGGGACCCTCCCCGCCGGGCGAGACTGAGACAACTCTTCTGGTGTCAGAAATCTCCCCATTTACTCAGATGATCCTGAAATTTGCTGTGGTGCAAGGGGGGCTAGAGTCAGGTAAGTGATCCACATTATGAGCCCTTTCACCATGGGGTTCCCAAGGCACAGCCCATCCATGACCAGCTTCTCTTCTGGTTAATTTGGCTGAGGTGGAAATCCTACGTGCACATCACCCCAATATGCCGAATCAATGGACTCCAACTTGTGGGGCAAATTGGTGTGGTATATAACCCCTCGGCAGGGGCCAGTCTGGTGGGATGCCACCCACTGGCTCTAGATGATGTGACCTGAGCCGTATGGCAGAAAAGTTCTCTGGGGACTCTCATCCAGGCAGACCGAGTCAGCCACAGTTTGAAGCTCAGGCCTCCTGTACTATTGCTGAAGTTATAGTGAATGAGGTGCCCCGGCATCAGGTCGTTATTTTTATATATTCATCACTGCTGTGGAAAGGCAGACGGTGAAGAGCTTCAAAAGGGTTTCGCAAAACAAAGTCACCGGGCACCAGAATGGCAAATGAAATAGACAAAGGCTAAGAAATGCAGAATGGAAAACAATCCCCACGTGTAAACTGTTGGCGACTGAATTGGCTTTTACCACTCGAGAGAGATCTCGGAGTCACTGGGGATCGTTCTCTGAAAACATCCACTCAATGGGCCACAACAGCCAGAAAAGCAAATGCAGGTGGCTACCGACTTGCGACGCGATTGGTTCCTGGGGAAGCGTCACAAGTTGGGGGTGTCATAACTCGAACCCTTATTGACAATAGGTGCCGTGCACTGTCGTAAATGTGGGCCGAGGACGTAAGTCGGGGGGTTTTGGCCCCTTCCGCACTTACAGAAATGGTCGTCCGTGCGGGGGAGGAGGGTCACAACTCCCCTTACAGTGGATGAGAAGCTGGACATGAGTCAACAGTGTGCCCTTGTAGCCAAGAAGGTTAATGGCATATTAGGGTGCGTTAGGAGGAGCATTGCCAGCAGATCGAGAGATGTCATTATTCCCCTTTATTCGGCTCTGGTGAGGCCACATCTGGAGTATTGTGTCCAGTTCTGGGCCCCCCACTACAGGAAGGAGGGGGACGCATTGGAGAGGGTCCAGTGGAGGGCAACCAAAATGATTAGGAGGCTGGAGCATATGACCTATGAGGCGAGGCTGAGGGAGTTGGGTCTGTTTAGTCTGCAGAAGAGAAGAGTGAGGGGGGATTTGACAGCAGCCTTCAACTTCCTGAAGGGAGGTTCCAAAGAGGCTGGAGAGAGGCTGTTCTCAGTAGTGACAGATGGCAGAACAAGGAGCAATGGTCTCAAGTTGTGGTGGGAGAGGTCCAGGTTGGATATTAGGAAAAACTATTTCCCTAGGAGGGTGGTGAAGCACTGGAATGGGTTCCCTAGGGAAATAGTGGAGTCTCCATCCCTAGAGGAGTTTAAGTCTCAGCTTGACAAAGTCCTGGCTGGGTTGATTTAGTTGGGATTGGTCCTGCCTAGAGCAGGGGGCTGGACTTGATGACCTTCTGAGGACTCTTCCAGCTCTATGGTTCTACAAGTCTATGATTCTATAACTCGGGCCATCGCAAGGCAGGGATTTCCTCTAGAATATTAAGAATCATGAAAAAAGGATTAGAAAATAATCCTCTGTATAAGTCCATGTTACACCCACATCTTGAATACCGTGTACAGATATGGTCGCCTCATTTAAAAAAAAAAGATACCTTGGCATTGGAAAAAGTTCAGAAAAAGGCAACAAAAAAGATTAGGGGTTTGGAACGGCTGCCATATGAGGAAAGAATTATAAGTCTGGGACTTTTCAGGTTGGAAAAGAGATAACTAAAAAAAGGGAATGATAGAGGTCTGTAAACTCATGACCGGTGTGAAAAAGTGAATAAAGAAGAGTCATTTACTCCTTCCTGTATCACAAAAATGAGGGGTCACCCAATGAAATTAATGGGCAGCAGGTTGAAAATGAAAAAAAGAAAGTCTTTCTTCACACAATGCAAAGTCAACCTGTGGAACTCCTTGCCAGAAGATGTTGCGAAGACCAGGACCTTAACAGGGTTCAAAACAGAACTGGATAAATTCGTGGCGGTTCGGGCCATCAATGGCTATTAGCCAGGATGGGTAGGAATCGTGTCCCTTGTCAAAAGCTGGGAATGGGTGACAGAGGAACGGTCAGTTGGTGAGTCCCTGTTCTGTTCATTGAAGCACCTGGTGCTGGCCACTGTCAGCAGACAGGATACTGGGCTAGATGGACCTTTGGTCTGACCCAGTACGGCTATTCTTATGAATGGGACACATCTGACTCACTTAATTAGCCTCATTAACAGGAGTCCTACATCTAACAGGCATTTTTTCTGCTGCTATATGTATCTCTTGCTTTCTGTTATTTCCACTCCAATTCATCTGATGAAGTGGGAATGCTCAATCTCTAGGGCTGTGTCTACACTGGCATGAATTTCCGTAACTGCTTAAAATGGAATACTATTCTGTTTTCAGATTTTCCGGAAAAGGAGCGTCTACATTTTCCAGAAAAGCGTCTGTGGCCAATGTAGACGCGCTTTTCCGGAAAAGACTACTGGGCTGTCTACACTGGCCCTTTTCCGGAACAGTGTTCCGGAATAAGGACTTATACCCAAGCGGGAGCAGAATAGTTTTTCCGGAATAGTGGCTGATTTTGTTCAGTAGAGCATCGTTGCTTTTCCGGAAATTCAAGGGCCAGTGTAGACAGCTCGCAGCTTATTCCGGAAAAGCGGCTGATTTTCCGGAATAAGTGGCCCAGTGTAGACACAGCCGGAGTAGAGCTGACCAGAAAATGGTCTGCCCATCCAGTGTAAATTTTAAAGATCTTTTTTAAAGTATCCTGCTCTGCTACAGAAAGAAACTGGAGCCTTTCAATATTTTTCACAAATACAAGTAAGTCAGGGTAAGTCTACGCAGCAAAGTTCTTTTGAAATTAGCCCTTATTTCGAAATAACTTTCCTAGCGTCTACACAGCCAAACCGCTATTTCAAATTTAATTCAAAATAGTGGAGCACTTCTTTCAAATTTGGTAAACCTCATTCTATGAGGAATAATGCCAAATTCGAAATAGCTATTTCGAAATAAGTGCTGTGTAGACACTTATTTCAAAATAGGGGCCTCCAGCCTCCCCAGAGTGCCCTGGCCTCAATCAAGAACATTCTCTCCCTCTCCCCCTCCCCGGAGACCTTAAAGGGGTAGACTCTGGCCACAGTGCCTGTGCCAGCTCCAAGCCTGCCAGCCCAGAGGTAGCAGTCACTGCCCCTGATCCAATGGCCCAAAACATGAGCCAGCAAGCCACTGGCAGTCAGCCCTCCACCGCTCCACAGAAGCAGTCTGCTAGCTCCCTGGAGCCTGCCAGAGCCTGGTGAAGGTGGGTGCCTCCCTGGTCCAGGATGGAGATCATGGACCTTATGCCCCCAACGTCCATGATCTCTGCACTAGATGGAGGAACGTGGCCATCTATGGCAGGATAGCTGCCAGTCTGGTCACCAAAGGCCACATGTAAACCCAGGAGCAGGTTTGCATCACCAATCAAGTTGTTCTGGCAAGACCCCCAACCCTGAGCCCTGAGCTTCCCCTTTCCCTTCTTCCCCTTACTTCCCTCTTCCAGCTCCCTTCTCCCAGGTTTCCCCCTCCCCTCTCCCACCTACTCTTCTCACCTCTCCCACCTCCTTTCCTTGGTCTCACCAGTGTTTGATTCCCTTTCCCCCAGTTTTGTTAAAGAGAGTTTGTGTTCATGAAAATACATGTATTTTATTTGACATCAGGAAGGAGGGCTAGGGAGGGAAAGTGGAAGAACATGAAGGAGAAATGAGGCACAAGCCCCCAATGGCGCAGACCAGGGAGGCTCTTAGTGCTTCTCAGGGTGGAAGCTCTCCCACAGGGCCTCCAGGATACTGACAACCCCTGGATGGACTCCCGGATGGCAGCCTGCAGAAAGTGCAGCCAGGCTCGCAACAACACATACATGAGAAGCACCAGAGTACCCAGGGGCAACTCTGGCTCCATCTTGCAGAGTGCTGTGGTGTCCTGAATGATGACAACCAGAGCATGCAGAGACAACAT